AATGGACAGGGAAACAGTGCAGATCATTTTAGGACACCAAGCAGAAGAGGCTATGTGGTAAGCGAGAACACACAGCTTGTTCATATTTGCCATGCTCTGTGAATCAAAATATTTTGATGCATGCCCATAATTCTCTTTCCAGTGTAACAGAAGGTATAGTGGCAAAAGGGTAGGTAGATATTACACATCCTCATTCAATTTCTACCTTGCCTCCACACTATCCATCTTAAAGAATAACTGTTCTTGAGTAAAGGACCATCCAATCCTAGAGCAGTGGATTGCTTTTTTGCTCTTCAGTGATAAAAAAGTGTTGTAGATAGATGCACAGTGAGCAATGACGACTATACTTTGTACTGAGAACAAGAAAACTTCACTTTCTGGCTGACTAGAAATATAGGGCGAAGTAACATACCTGGGCAATCCTAACTTCCCCTTTTGAACAAAGCCTGTTCTGTACAGCTCTGGATTCGTATGGCCTTGGATTGAGCTGGATGGGAGTGACCTACACCTGCCAAAAAGACAAGCATTTAGCCTGCTTTTTAGTAAAAAATGCTCCCTTTGCTATATTTCAAAACTCCGTATCCTTTTCACTCTCCTGTCAGGCTTATGCATCACTTACATTTGCCATTTGTTTTCTCAGGACACACAAAGCAATTTTTTCCTTTGATCCTTTCCATCACAGAGAAGCAGACTGCTCAATGTCTTGCCCCTCTCTCTCTTGACTCTGGCCAGCTCTGAGGGTGGAAGGTGAGGGGCAGAGTTAGGGCTGCACATAGGTATGGGTTTCAGTTTCCCTTTTTCGACTTTGTATGCTGCTAGATTGAGCATTGGGAAGAATGCAAGTTTCCATGAGGAGACTGTCACCCTGAAATAAGGAAGATCCATTTTTTAATTAATTAATTAACATTGTAGAGTATAAGATCTTGCACAGTGGGACCCAACATAGCATCTCCTAAAACGGAAAGCTGGATCAGACGGGCTTTGGACTCTACTCCTATGTAATAAAACAGTGTTGTTTTTTTTATTAATATTTTTTTTAAATCTACAACAAGATACAGCTCTGAATCTATTCTCACTAAACAAAGGAAAATTGTATTCGTTTTTGTCAGACCAGTACTTTGAAATTCCCCAAGATAAGACACATAAATAAATGAAGAGTTATACTTGGCAATGAGTTTGGAATCAGACTTCAAATGTTTCACAGTTCTGGGCTGAGGAACAAAGTTGAGCAAAGTCTCTAGAACCTTTTCGGAGGCATACTCAGGGTGTTTGGATATACTTGACAGCACCATGTTCAAGGGAGGAAAAAAAGAGGAGATTGCTTATCCAAAATGTGAGAAAGGGTTGCACCATGTGACATGCCTGACATTTAAGTGATAATAGTGTTGTGCATATGCTCTTTTGGCTTTGGTCTGACACCTAGGCTCTGCCATGGTGCAACTCAGCACTGTCATGGTACAGCCTTGATGACTAAACTCAGAGAGATGTGACTTACCACTCATTTCAGGAACATATGGGCCACAGATCACCCAGCCTCTGCTGCAGACTGGGAAAACGCACAGCGTCTCAGGCAAAGACCCTGCGAGTTCCCCAGCTGCACAAGGTGGCTGTGCAGGCTGCACCATCCTTTGGGATGCCATTTGCATTACAGAAAATTGTGGCTAATTAGAAATAAACAGAAAAACGCTTGATTTACAAAGAAATGTGTGATTTTGCCAGCTATTTTTTTTCACTCTCTTTAACTTAACATTCATAGAATACACTGATCATGCTAATGCTTTCGCTATATTCATTAATAAGGACAATTTACATTTATATAGCACCTCTCTTAGTTAAGAATTCCAAAGCTTTCAGCAAAATATACACAAAAAATTACATCTATTTCACTGAATATAGTCATTGTCGGAATGAAAATCAACAATTGTGAAGCAGTACAGAAGAACGTTACACAACAGTTGCAAATAAGACACAAAGCAAACTCCCCAAAAACTCAAAGCAAAAAACCCTTGAGATGCCAGATGCAAGTGTAGGTAAAAGGGACGTTAGTATGCAAACAGCAATGTGAAGCAGGTCTGTGTGTGCCCTGAGGAGCAGTGCTTGGAGGCAGCAAACATACTTCGTAATGACTAAAGCAACAGACTTCATGCATGTACAGCCTACTGCTTTCCTGCATACCGAGGGAGATTCTCAGTTTAAACTGCAAATATACTGAGAAGAATGAACGAGGACATGCAAATTGCAAACAGCACTTATCTGGCCACTAAGCTTCTTACTTTACAAACGGCCTCCAAATTTTAAAAGGCATTTATTATGTTAATACATTCTTCTGCAAAAATAAAATAAAATAAAAATGAACTTGCTTCAAATGATGAGTTTTAATTTTCTATCACAATGACACATAACTGGAATTCCCAGACCAAAATGAAATCATTTATTCTCTCTGTGTTCAAATCCCCCTTCTACCCGAAAACCCATTTACTTTAGTCACTGATCAAGCCTCCACACACTATATTACAAGTTGAGAGTCAGAGGTGGGAGAAAAAGCCATCCATCTAAAGTAATATTAATAGCAAAACTCTGAGAGAGAGCATGCATGCACTAGCAAGACCAAAGCATGAGCTATTACATGACAAATGTGTTGATAAATGTTCAGCCCCGCAAACACAAAATAACTTTAGTTTTGCTAATAAGCACCCATTCTAGCCCTTTCCCATCACTTTGAGGCAGACAAGGTAGTTTTCATACTTGACCCTTGAAAGTAGGTTTGTTTTTGTAATTAACGTGTTATCCAGGGATTTTTCTTTCAACATCTCTTTCTCCTTTCAATACTCTCCCTCTAGCGCAGAAAGATTTCCTTGCCTGAAGTTGCCACTATATTCAACAACTGCTGGCTGAGACCTCACGACCCACTGCATAAATTCACATAAAATTATTCACGTTTGGCACATTTCTGCTGACGAATAACAACAACCTTTTTGTCTCTGAGACAAAGGAAAGAAAGACTTAAAAAAAAGAACAAAGACAGTCTAATAAGAATCCCACATTTCCTATTTTTTCCTAATCTGGTTAAACACACTCTACATGTCCGAGAAATTCAACAAAGCGAAGTTGTTGTGGACTGTTTGTCTTTCAGGACAGAATCAACACAGATGGAACGGCCTCTCAGTGTGACTTCTGATCACGGGCTCAGATATGAGGTAACTTTTCTTGCCTGTTAGATGTTTTGGCTTTTCACTGACTTACCATGCTATCATGCCATTGCAGCTAAATCCACACTAAAATCGAGGATCACAACACCGAATCCAAACCCGGTTGGGACTTCAATCTCGTCCACACAGCAAGTCAAGAATTCATTCAGTGTAGTTACAATCACAATACAAGTAATCAAATAAAAAAGGTCAGAGGAAAAGACCTGAGCATTTCTTTTTGCTCCATGGAAAAACAATGTATATATCACACTTCAAAACTGATGACATTTTTAACATGTAAATCTATGAAGTCCCATTAAAACAGAAATAATGAAGCAACCTTTATGACAACGTCTTACTCCAATTGAGTTACATCTGTACATACTTGTATTTGAAAAATACATGAACCTGAATTTAGACTCCCTCCCACTGGGAATTCTCAGATCTTGGTTTATTGAGTTAGTTTCTGATCCCTTTGCTATATATACATCTGTGCAACTTCAGTGACAACCACCTCAAGACTTTTCTAGTAAAGCAAAACCTGCTAGATGGCTAAAAGCTGTGATCACTACCTCTTATTTCACCCTCTTCACCCTTATGCAGTAGGGGAAGAGTTAATAATATGGAAGAAAAAAATTGGCAATGTTGTTATGTTTGGAAAGATCTCTACCATACTGTATTTAGGTGAAAAAGAGAGATACTTGGCCCATTCCCTGCTACAAACTTAGATTTATGTCAGAAGTGCTTTATTACTATTTATAACAATGACTCAGTAGACATTTTTAAAGCACTATGATGCCACAAACTGAAAACACTCCTATTATCCGTGCTCACGTGTTTCTCCAAAATTAAGAAGCGTGGTATCACATAGCACAGATTGAGGCTATGGGGAGACACTACAGATTGTAATATGAAGTCAAAGCGTGAACAATTCCTCAAGTCTCCCATGTCTTACTCTGTCAACTCTTCTTTTCACATGGACTCCTGTATCTTGCTTACACACTCATACATTGGTTTGAAAAACCCAACATCGATATACTTACGCCATGATAGTAACGGAGCCTTAAGATCTTTTAGCCCCAAATTCCAAAAGCAACCAGTTTTAAAATCATCATAATGACGGGTGCATCATCAACTCGAAGGAATTTCTGTTTTCTTTTTAACTGAGGGAAAAACTTGACCATCTTTCTCTAATGCTATCAACCTGGAAGCTTGACAGTAAGGATTAAAAATTGCTCTTTCCTTCCCACTTGGTTATTGGAAAGGCTGTGAAAGGCAATCAGTCTTGTGAAGCCACACTTCACAGTCTGCATAAAAATGCCATGATTCCCAGTCCTCTCCCCAACCTAATTGAAAGTGCGTAATATCACACAGCTGGGGAAAACTAAACCATAAACATATGCGATATATCATGCTATGATACAAAACCTGTTACTAATAGGCACTTGATGATCAGCAGGATCGAATGGGATCTGAAAACAGACATTATTTTTGCTGCAGGGTAAGAACTTTTCCCGATTGAAAGAGAGGAAAAAGCACTCTCTCAGCAGTGCAGGAATTGGACTGGAGTCAGTTCATTCATTCTGTTTGTGAAATATGGACTTTTCTTTAATGATTTCTGTTTGACTGCTGCCGTGCTCAGATGCTTTGGGGGTACTGCTGCAGCAAATCATAGTTTTGGTTAAGAGGAAATCCATGTCTTTCTAGTCAGTAAATATAAGGGTTTGGTGCATCTGAACAGACACCCCCGCCTAGCCCCAGGCTTTCTCTCGACCAAGCTATCACTGTTTTAATGCCAAGTGGCCATACTACCTGTCACCAGGAGTCTGTGGGTAGTGCTGCTTGTTAATTTTTGCATAGAGTCCTTCCAAGTGCTCCCTCTCCATTGGTCCTGAAGAAGAATCACGTGGATATACAAAGGTTTCTGCTACTGCTGGAGACGATGGCCTGTAGATGCTTGCTGCTGGATAAGCCTCTCGGAAGTGGTTTACTCTGGCATAATTTGGATCCATCTCATCATCGTCAATGTCAGGTCCTCCAGGACCAGTAGAATAATCACTCAGGCCTCTCAGTTGCTTTTGTCGTAACTCCTGATGCTTTACACCAATCCTAACAATAAAAAAGAAAGAACAAATATACAGTTGGATCTGCTTCAACAGAAACCACAGACACTAATTCATCACACAAATTTGGAATACCAATCCTGAACCCAATTGTTTAGATCTTCCACTACACTGTGAAACCAGTGCCAGATAAAACAAAATAGGGCGTGCAGCAGTTTTGTTTTTTATCTCTGGCAATCACCTTTGCAACCAAGGTTGGTCATCATTCTGATGAAAAAAATTATTGCTGAATATAGCGTGGCTTTTCACAAGTGTGCATGTGTGTGTCTATGCATGAACACGTACTGCTTTAATTCCACACCTACTCTCCACTTTGTAGTTAATATACCTAACCTAATCCTGAAACTTTTTATCTAAATTAGCCAGAAAAATTGTTACTGGCCCTTGGTCACTTGACCCACCTAGATTCTCCTAAATACATTAACTTGTGAAAAGTGGATTAAATGTGAACATAAATGGAGAGATGGCACAGTTGTCTCAAATCAAAGGACCACAGTTAATTTGCTGAAGATTAAATTTTTTTTTAGATTTTATTTTGGCTACATAAACGTAGAAATCTGCCTTATTACATAGGGGATAGAGACAAAGTAAAACAGCAAAGAAATTAATAGAAACCTGACAGAGATGAATCGGTACATATAAGTGAATTAAAGACTATTACTGGCAGTACTCCACTGTGATAAAGCCTTAAGTGGTATTACAAAATGCTGCTGCTAATCAGGGCCATTGTGTAATCTCTTTGGAATAGTAAAACATATTCAGGTAAATTTCTAACTCAGCTGATATTCAACGATTCAACATTAATGCTGGAGGAAAAAAAAACTACAGCAAGGCTCTGTGAGCATGCAACTTCTGTTAACTGCTCAGCTACTCTTCAACATAGTGTAATTAAATGCAGTGAGATGGATCTGGCAGAACGCTGACCGCAATACGTAATAAATAGCATTTACAGAAAATAATGGAGCATAGAGGGGAAAAACAAAGAAGGGAAGACAGATACAGTGATGCAGTGCCTGACAGAAGAAGTCAACATTTGCTGTTGACTGTTTCTGAAGTACAGCAGCAGCATAAAAAGAACAGTATAATTTATACCATAGAAGAATAAGTAAAAAGGGTCTAGCAGACTTGGTTACCCCAATAAAGCATAATGACCGCAGAACTCTGCATTGTGAAAAACGAAGGTGTTCTGGAGAAAGTCTTTAAAAGGCATGGAGAAAATGTTTCTCTAAAGAAACAGATGAGCACATTGACAGCTTCCAGTCGGACAGACAGGAGCTATTACGTGCAGAACAAGATTCATATCATTTATTTTGCTTCATTAGAATTACATCAGAATAAATGCTAATACTTTTCAAAATAATCTGTAGATAAAAAGGTTTACAAATAATTCTAATGAGAATAGCATGCCTTTCTACATACATAGTCGAGTACATTAATGTGTATCATGCATGCTTTCCAGTTACATCTCTCCATTAACTGTGCTAGGATGTATCTAGAGGTGATACTAGTTTTTAACACTTAAAATGCAGTCATACTTTACAGTGGGATGAGCCTGCATACGACACAGTCTTTCACAGTCGGGGGGTGCCCACTGTCCACTCTGCTTTGTCTCAGTGACGCAGATGACCTTCCTCCTCTAGTACTCGAGTACTATGTGCAGTTCTGGGCCCCTCAATATAAGAAAGATCTCGAACTATGACAGCGTGTCCAGAGGAGCGCAACCAAGATGGTAAAATGCCTCAAGGGCAGCACTGACAAGGAGCAAGGAGGGGGCTGAGGCCACTTGTTTTTTTCAGCTTGGAGAAGAGAAGACTTGACGGGTGACCTCATCGCTGTTTACAACTTCCTCACGAGTAGCAGCAGAGAGGGAGATGCTGATCTCTCTCTGGTGACCGGTGACAGGACACGAAGAAATGGCATGAAGCTGTGTCAGGGGAAGTTCAGATTGGACATTAGGAAAAAGTTCTTCACTAAGAAGGTGGTTGGTCACTGGAACAGGCTCCTCAGGGAAGCGGTCACGCCACCAGGCCTGTCAGAGTTCAAGGAGCGTCTGAATGATGCTCTTAGGCATATGATTTAGTTTTAGGTAGTCCTGTGAGAAGCAGGGAATTGGACTTGATGATCCTTACAGCTCTCTTCCAACTTAAGATATGGTTCTAATACAATATTTTAATATAAAGACCATGTGAGAGAATAATACCTTCCTAACACACCACTTCTGCTTTTCCTCAACTTCCTGATCCCAGCCCAGTTAGTTCACTTTCTTTAATTTTTCTTCAGGTACCATTAAAAATACCCACAAAGCCTCAATGTAATCTACTACAGTAGTTCTTAGAGATGAAAGGATGATAAGAAGATACACGCTACAATCCATCTATATGCTTAACACTTCTCAGGTTTCTACACTGAGGCTTCCTAAGATTTCCTTCTTTATTTCTTCCTGGAGCATCTTTCCCTGTACAATCGCCTCCTCCTCCTGTAATCTTCACTCCCGTTCTCTTTTCCTTCAGGTTTTCATGCCACATACACTCCCTACTTTGAATTCAAACGGTGGCCTGGGTCAGGACAGGCGCTACGCTCAAGTGCCACCTCCCCCAGCGTAAGGTGGTGTCTTGAAGAAGTCGCAGACTTCGAAATGAGCCTTTGATTCTGCACAATTCTGACTCTATCCACTAGGGAGATCTTATTGCAGAATCTTACGGAGGGCACAGCCTGGTGTCGATATGTGATCAATTCAGTCAGTAAGGCACATATTCTCTCATTTCACTGCTAATTGCACTGGCTTAGCTGGCTGACGGCTTCTTGGGACAGTGAGAGTTTATGGCATTTGCAGAACTTATTCTGGGACATACGACTTTCTTTACAAAACTAATGGTGATGCTGGTATAGGCCTTTGGTAAAAATTCATGCTTCTATTCATAAAGCAATGGACGATGGCATGGGAAGAACGTCGACACTGAGGAGCTGTATATGAAAACAAGAAACTAAAAAGCAGTGGTCAGCTTGCATTTCTATCTAAACTATCTAAACTAGTACTCTAAAGAGTAATAATTAGAGAGCAGTTGAAAGTGTGCAAAGCCTTTTTCTCCAAGGGTTTCTGAATAAAGATAAAAGAGAGATTATGCAGCAGGGAGTGGTGGAAGGAGCCAGTCTGTCCATGTCTGTGAGTGAAACACCACATTGATTGTTCACATAAAGGAATTTGGGGCAATGTTATCACTTGGTCAGTTCAGGTAAAAACCAGTCTTTTCAGGTAGCTCATCGTCCGAGAGGACTCATCGAACTACAAGGACAGGGATGGATTTCCATTGCAAATAAGGCCTCAGACATCAATGAAGCAGAGACGGAGGCCTACGCTGCTGATTTCCATCTTTTATACATACAGGGACTTCAAGAGAAACCCTCTTGAAGAAGGATTAATATTTCACATGTTCCACATGGGATTATGTCAGAAATGTAAAAAGGCACTATCTTTGTTAAAAAAAAAAATTAAAAAAATCACACAAGTAACTGCTAGCCCCGGCACTCAGTAACTCTACCAGTTTGGTAGTAGTCCTTGCCTCTGATTATCCTGCTCTCGTACTAAAATGCGTAAAGCACTTTGAGACTGTTGCTGTCTTCCAGATTAACTCTGAGAAAGCTCCGAATGTTCTTAAAAACCTGAGAAACTATGGAGGGCTTCACTCTCAATTAGTGACCAAAAAAGCCTAAACAAAGACTTCAATGCAGGAATATATATCATAGGAGGTTCAAGTTTCATGGCACACAGAGGTCCATGCAGGATGATAGAGGCAGAAAAATGGGAAGACATTGCATTTCAAGGAATGGCCTTATCACACGCCAGTGCAGAAGGCATGACACACAGTCCTGAGAAGAGTCACAGCAGTTTCTCAGAAAATGATGAGCCATAATGTTCTTTGGACCAATACATTATCTGTCCCCTAGGTATTTAAGACCTATTTGAAAGCAAGAGTAGTGCAGCACAGCAGCATCACGTGAATCTTGCTTTCATGTCTGACAGTGAGAGTAATTTGTCCTGCTATCAATACTGGTATATTCTGCACAACAAAAGCTGGAATTAGGTCACCACAATTTTCTTTTGTTCCTGTGAATAAGCCTAGCTTCTTCAACTTCCCCTTCTGAATGCAATCTTCAATCGCTGCCACTATTATAAGCTGAACCTGCTCAAGAACAATTATTTCCGTTCTGTATTATACAGACCAGTCAATACCAGGTTTTGTGAAATTCTGCATGATCAATGTTTCATCTTTGCAAATAGGCTATTATAATTGCATTAATATTTCTTGTTTCCTTTTTACTCTTCCACACAAGTCTATAAAATCTGCTCAGCGATCTCTTTTTGCTTTCAATCCAAGCGTTCAAATACAGGGAAACAAAACTATCAGACGGCTGTTCTTTCTTTCTTTCTATTTACCTGTCCTTTCGTGCCTTCTCTTATGTTTTTCACCTTACAAGTTTCTTCACATTTTTATGAAGTTTTAAATATCCTCACATTTGAGCATCATTTTTCTACCCAGTTTTAAAGCAATCTTTTCTATAGTACATCCCAGTAGGTGCCCAGGAGTTCTTCACTGAAGTACAAAAAAAATGAAGGTGCTGCTCCTTCCATCACTCCTGTAATGCTCTGTCAACCCTGCTTAGCAGTCTACTTCTGCTCTATCTCACTCTAGCCGTTTACCATTTCTGCACCTCCCTCTGCATTTCTCCCTATTTGAATCAGCATTATCTTTACTTCCCATCACAACAACAATAAAAAAAATCAATCTTCCAAAGGAACACAACTATCACAGCAACCAGCTTACAGTTATTATGGACAAACAATTACTACAAGAGAGCCCCAGACTTGCAGCACAGGATGGGTCTGGTTAAACAACTGATGCAAATTTGTGACAAAAGATAAAATGTCACTCAGCACCACGATGCTGGCAGTGAAACCAGAGATGAGGAGAGGCACAGGTCACCATC